TTGGACTGGATGATCTCAGAGGGCTTTTCCAACCCAGCTGATTCTGTGATTCTATGATTCTATGATTCTATGATTCTGTGATTCTGTGGTTCTACAATTCTATGATCATCGTCGCGCTGCCACGACCTCCTGCCCCGGCCCCATCTGCGTCCAAACCCATTCTCGTGCTCAGCAGCAGCCCAGATTAGTGCCTTGTAAACAGAACCCTCTTTGTGCCCAAGCCCTGACCTTTGACTCGGCTCCTGATCCCGGCAGATTCGATGTGTCCTGCTATTTGTCTTGCTGCTCCCTGAGAAGAAGAAAAGGAGCGGGGAGGCGGCACGCGGCCGGGAGCTGAACGGAGCAGGGCTCTATTCTTGGCTCCAGCTCAGACTTCCTCCCTGACCCCTGGATAAATGGCTTACTCTGTCCATTCCTGGGCAGCACAGGGTCATACCCAGCTGCTCTGGATGTCCACTGGAAGTGCTTGTAGCTGTGGGAGGATCAAAGGGTGGAGGATAAATTTGGCTGGAGCCTGTGCTGTTGTGCTGGAGCCTAAAATCCAAATCTGGACTTTTCAGAAGCTCAGATGGCCAAGGACTGGGAGGAAACAAGAGGAACTGCGTAGTTTTACTGCCACTCTTTCCTCTTCTCCTATACCTTCTTCATCATCACATCACAGCCTTCCACAGCACAGCTTCCTCCTCCTCTGTGCAGGTTAAATCCAGACCTCATATCTGCACCTTTCTCCTCACCTTTGGGGACACTGGTCTTACTGATGCCCCTCCATGTATTGCTCCTGCCCGCCTCAGTCCTGGAAAAAGGGCCAAAAAAAATTTTGGCAGTTCTCAAGTTTCAGGCCTAGAGACGCAGCCTCTGGGTCTGTTCTCTGATACACCCAAAAACTTCTCGTGGGCAAAAATGGATCACACCGAACTGAAGGAAAACAGTGGTGTTTTATTGGTGCATGTGTGCTGCTCACCATGCCAGTGTCCTTCTGGGTCCCTCAGGCAAAGGCACAGGTCACCACCCCCAGCAGAAAGGGTTGTCACTGTGAGTTGTCACCATCCTAAGGAGGTCCTGCAGGGATGGGAGGCATCTGGGAACAGGTCCCCCAGTGAGGTTGTGGAGTTTCCTTCTCTGGAGATACTCAGAAGTTGTCAGGCACAATCCTGAGTGGATCCTGCAGAGAGGCTGGGCTAGATGACCTCCAGTGGCCCTTTCCAACCTCACCCATCCTATAGATTCTATGACATCCATCCAAATCCTAGTGTAGGAGACTGGGAAAAGGTATTAACTTGCATTATGCATGAAAAGAAGGTCATGTTTAATACACCCAGGCTTCAGTCAGACACCCACAGGCAACCTGTGGATCCTGTTGAAAGGATCTTAGAAAGCCCCCCCTGGGCACTGTCATGTTGGAAAGACCCAACAGTGCAGTTTACTGTGCTTATTGCCTTCCTGCCTTCAAGATTTGCTCCATCATCATCCTCATCGCTGCTTTTCCATGGAGATGATGACCAGGGAGGACAAAGCTGAGCATCCCGGGTGGATGCACCATCCCCCAGGCTGGATGTGGGACCGACTCCACCCTCAAGCCCACAAAGGTCAGCGCCCAAATTCTTAGAACTCTTTGAAAGCCCAGACACAAGATTAATTTGACTGACAAAGAACTAATTGGTTTCAGGACTAATTAAGTACATATACTTGTCTTTGCTTAATCAGTGAAATTTCCAATGGCATTAAAGTGTCCAAGAACACAAATCCCCAGAGATTTAAAGCAAATAGTTAAAATCAACTTAGATCCAATTATCATATAAATCACTAATGACCTGGGTAAATTGGAAGCTCTTTGGCTCGGCCTCTGGGGAAGAATAAACCCTATAAAAATGAACATGCTACCTGGATTAATACACAGGCTCAGGGGACTCCACTGCAAATATTCCAACAGGACTTTTTCCAGTGACATTGTTATTCATCACAAAATGCCAGTATTTCAAAACAAACAGGTTTCACGGGAAGGTTTTGATGAAACTTTCAGCAGGAACTTTGTGTTCAGCATCCAGAGCTATAATCACTCAAGAATAGCCATTTATCCATCGCTGGGCCCATTCCTGCTGAGTCCTTTAACTGGAGGGCAATTAGTAATTTCCGGCCCTGTCTTCCCACATTCTGCTTTTCATCTTGCTCGTGGTCACAGTCTGATACTCCATTTATTAAAAAAGGAAAAAAAAAAAAGAAGGTGATTAAAGACTTTGGGTTTGGTCTAACGAGAAAGAACTTTGGGACATGCCCTGAGACAATCAGAGTATTTAAAATTAATTAATTAAATGAAAAGGGGTGGTGGACAGAGAAAACCAGGTATCTTCCTTGAGTAATTTCAGTTGTCATTCAAACCACTGAAATTCAGATTTACAAATCTGAGGGAAGACCACAGAAGCATTTTGGTGAGTGAAGCCACACGATGGACAAAAGACATCACAGAACAACACAGGAAACACCTCTAATAGGTTTATTTTTTCATCCACACTCATTTTTAGGTGCAAGCTACAGGTGGATCCCAGAAAACCTAATCTCCACTAACCACCTAAGCTGTCTCATCCTGACCTGTTTATTTTGCCAGTGCAGATTCCAGCTTTATTCTCTATTCATGGGAATCTCAGGCTTGTAAAAAATTGGCACGTAAAGAAACAAGGAATAAAAAAAAAGGGTTAAATATGAGAATAATATATGAAATGCAGTTTTTATGCACCCAGTGATTACAAACCCTAGGTTTTACACCTCCAAAATTGCAATGCACATTAGGAAGTGCTGCCAATACAATCAAAATCTTCCCCTCCTGACTCCAAGGTTCAGCCAGGAACTGCTCCCAGTCAGAATCCCATCCCTTCCAGAATGCCTGTTTTACTCTGTGATTCCCTAATGTCCCACCAAAGAGTTAATGAGCGCAGGGAGGCACGAATGGGATAAAGAATTAACAGCAAATACCTCACCCACGGTGGAATACAGTGATTAAAGAAATGTTCTTGGACCTTGGGCTGTGTCTTACAGAAAGAACAACATTCCTACCCCTAACCTGAAAATAAAGTTCCACCCCACGTGGTGACTACAAAAGCAGCCTCTGCAGAGGTGTGTTTGTACATATGTTTTGGCCATGCCCTTTTATTCCAAGCTCCTGCTCTGGAATCAGAGCACGATCCCACGAGTTCTGCATGAGGGTGGATGTTGCTGAATCCATCGAACAGCAGTGAGAGCCACATTAAACAGGAGGCCAACTGGAGCACTGTGGGCTGCAAGAGGGGTCTGCTGTGTCACAGAACCCTCCCAAAAGGCACATCACCTTGACCAGGGAACGTGGTTTTTAAAGGATGGTGCCCATTCAAGCCACACAGGGCGATTTCTGGGTGACCAAAGGACCTTCATGAGACCCAGATGAAAGGGGTGAAAGCAAACCATATCCTCCTCCCTGCCTCCCCTCTTCATCTTTGCCCTTCCTACTCCACTGTGATCATTTTGCTTTGATACGTGCCCAGGAACTCTCTGTGTGCTTAAAAAACTCGGGTACCCGGGCAAGTAATAAATGTAATAAATATCTTTTTGTCATTTCCTGGTGCACAGCACTTCAGTGCTCGAGATGCACGTTGGTACTTCTCTTTTTCTTCCTTGCTTTTAAGGAAAAAAAGGCTTAATAAACAGGCAAAGCAGAAAACAAAAGGAGTCCACATTCCTCCTCGCTCAGCCTCCTGCTCCTCAGGGATCTCCAAAAACTCTAAAAGACGGTCTAAGCCTCGGCAGCTCATCGTCCTTCCTTTTCCCCCATATCATTAGGAGGATCATTAGAGGTCAGAGTAGAGTTTTATCCTTGTGAGGATAAAGCAGCTCACAAAAATTGAAGCCTGTGGCAGAATAAAACTCTGATGGAGCCACTCACCCAAAGCCTTGTTGCTGGAAATGCCCGGCAGCACCGAAAGCGTCGAGGATGTCGGGATGCGGTGGATACCAAGGTGGAATTACAGGTGCCCAGGAGAGGAGGAGGAGGAGAGGTTGAGCTGCAGGGCAGTGGTGCTAATGAACTCTGGCTTCTGCACGGGTTTTTCTGCTTTTCCCATTCCTACCTGGGCAAGGGAGACTCGGGGAAAATTTTAGCGCGTCAGGGCCCCGCAGAGGCAAAGACAAAGCAAGGCTCGGTTTGAGAGTAGGCAGAGATCTGGACAATGATTGTGGTCACTGTCACAGCCCTGGGAATGTCACCTATAGCACAGTGTGCTGGTGGGATAATGGGAAATAGCCCATCAGGAGGGCTCACTCAGCCAACACCAGGCAGCACCTACTGGTGTGTAGCCCACACAGGGGAACAGACACATCTGAGGTGTCCTCAGGGCCAGGAGAGGAGGGTTGGCCAAAGCAGGGCTGGAAAGATGCAAGTTCAAGGGTTATAATGGGATCTCCCTCCAGTTGGCGAGAGGATTTGCTCCCGGAACAGAGATCTGCTCTGATCCTACAGCTCCCCGTCAGGATCCCAGACAAACTGATGGAGATGGACCCAATCAAGC